GCGCAGCGAGGGCGCGGAGGGCGCCAGCATCCTCCCCGCGCCGCAGCGCCTCCGCCCCGGGGGCCCGAGCGGTTTGGTCCAGAGCCAGCAACATGCTCTGCTGGGAATTCCTGCAAGCCTGGCAGGAGAGAAGCCCCCGACACAGAGACACGAGTAAGAAGTGCGAAGCCCCCAGACAGGAGGGGAAAGCAGAGGGCCTGTGACACCAGGTAAGAGGGGTGGAGGAAAGCTGCATGGGGCGGGGGCGGGGAAGGGGCGCAGGAGGGGTGGAGCGAGCCAGGAGAGGGAACTGAAGACTGGGGACACGCCAAAGCCGTTTTTAACTTCCCCCAAATTCTATCTTTAGGAATGATGATTTTTAGATCCAATGTCAGAACTATTATCATGACATTTAAGCACCCATCAGGAAACACAGCATAAACACTAGCACGTAGACTTTGACCCGCATTTTTAGGACAGGTGTTCACATAGTCGAATAAAGCTCTGCATGCAAATGACCAAACCCTTGAAATGCAGGGTGTCTAGGCTCCAGAGTCACTCGGGCAGGCCATAAACGAGAAGAAACACGGGCAATATCTGACCTGCCTGAGGTCCTTTCACTCCCAGCCCCCTCACCGCCCCCTCAGCTCAGGGTCAGCCCACCCAGGGGACAGTGGAGGCAGGGGAGCGGGGCACGAGAACCTGGGTGCTGGAGGGTCCCACGGCGCGCCGCGGCACTTTGATGTCGAAGCCGCTCTTGGGGTCCTTCTCGCCCCGCAGGGCCGGGTCGTTGAAGGGCTCGTGCCCTGTCTCCCAGTCGCACACGGTCTTCCTAATGGCCTGCAGGACACTAACCCGCCCGGTCAAGTGGTCAGGGCAGACGCAGTGCTGGCCGCATGTCCTCAGCTAAAACACAGCCAGCTCTTACACATGAATTCCTCCGGGGGCACTCGGGGGATGTGGCAATGGACCAGCTGAAACTTTCAACTGGTTCATTTCAAGTGGATCGACATGAAACTTTAAAAACAGATTGTTTTCTTGGCGACATTACTCGCCCTAGAAGAGCTAATGTAGTTGCAGTTTGCATCAGTTAGCCCGGAAGTGATGTTTGATTTCCTAAACACTGAGTCATGCCAAGGGCAGCAAGTGTACAAAACACATTCACTGAGACCTGAAACTCGACTTCCCTGTGACTGATCCCGTCTTCTGACTTGAACATGAGGTCACCAACACAACCGTGGGGACTGGACCTGTGTCCCCAGCCCATTTGGAGTATGGTCCCATCCCCAACACGGCTCCACCGTGCGGAGACCCCAACAGGCGCCACCCTTGGAGCACAGGCAACCACGCACCCATCCTGAACACCTGGTGGGGAAATTCTAGCTGAAACCGGAGTGACTCTTACACTACACGGCACACCTCCCACTCAGTGAGGCGGCATCACGGTGAGCGTGAGCAACGCCGAGGCGTTACTGGAAACATGAAAGCCTCCACTAAGTTTGTTCCAGGCGAGGGAACAAAAACTGGGAAGCCTCGGAGTGGAAAATCTTAGTAATGCTAAAGTCATACCACACCGGGTGACAATTACATCAACCGTAAAGCAACAAAGTGGAATCAACACTTGTGTGAGCCCCTGTGAGCTACACTGCAAAAATGTCTCTGAAAGACAACTTTATAAAGCTACACATTAAAATAAAACTAGCTCACAGTGGCTCGACCATATGTACGTAGTTGTTGACCAGCTTGTAGGAAGGGCCAAAAGGAACGGATGATAACCACGCGAGATGGGAGGTGAGATGCTGGCCAGTGTGTCCCTACAGGCCTGGCGGACAGAACTGTCACATGGATTCTGAGAGACCCCCAGGCCCCAGGTAAACACACCCTTGCCCCCGGGTCTCCAGACTGCTTAGACCTTCTGCAGTTAATTCACTGTGGGCGGTTCAGGTTAAGAATTGGATCCAGTGCATTACATTTAGAGGAAATTCACCAAAGGGGCGGCTGGAGGTTGATGATAAGTGCACTGAGCATGCGTGTGAAGATGTGCAGGGAGGTGTGTGCGGCGGGGCTGACCTCTGGATGACGTTCTTCTTCTTCTTGATGGCCTGCCTGAGCGGCTCCCTCAGGGTGACCTGGGAGAAGTCCTGCAGCGCGGCGTAGATGGTGTGGCGGATGGCGTGGTTGAACACGCTCTCCATCCTGCCCATCAGCACCTGCAAGCCTTTGATCATGGCGATGACCTGTAGGGGGGACAGGTGACCTTCAGTGTGCTGGAGGGTGACAGCCGAGCTCCACGGGTCTGGCACACGCTGGGAGGCTGCCTCCCCCGTGCACAGGGCCTCTCCCTGGCCTCCTGCTCTGCACCTGCAGCTGTCCCTGCTACTGGGTCTGACCGCATCAGACCACGAGTGCCTTGAGGGCAGTGATGGATCTGCTTGGCCTGGAGCTATCAGGGGCATCTGGTAACTGACTCAAAACACTTCTGAATCCATCAGGGTGTATCTCTCTGTGAAAGACTTCAAACTAAAAAGAAGAAAAAGATTTAGGAAGGCAAATGAGTTATTATCTGAAAACGAAAAAAGAAGTTACAAGTTGGTAGCCCAAATCCCATCTGTTCAACAGTAATGACACAGTGATTTAATATGCAGAAAAAGGCTGGCAGAAAATGCACTGCTCAGACTTCATCTCTGTGATGGCATCAGAGACAATGTACTATCCTTATTTACAGAGAAACATGCATGTTTTATCTGTTTGCTTTGGAGATTCGTTTTTCTAATAACCACCACCAAAAAAAAAAAAGGGAAAAATTCCATTTAAAAAGGCAAATTCTCTATTTCATGTCCAGAGATGGATATGACCCAGCAATTCCACTCCAAGTGTGTCATCAGGAGTGAAAACAAGCCCACCAAAACCTGCACACAAACGTTCACAGCAGCATCACTCCTACGTGAAAAAGCAGAACTCATATGTCCATCAGCTAACAAACAGAAACATAAAACGTGATCTACATGTAGGATGGAATATTATTTGGCAATGAAAAGGATGAAATACCGACACACATGTGAACTTTGAAAACACTGTTAAGTGAAAGCCAATCACAGCCACATATTGCATGATTCCCTTTATAGGAAATGTCCAGAATAAGCAAGTCTACCGAGTCAGAAAGCAGACTTGTGGTTGCCACAGGCCAAAGGAAGGGGAGAGTGGGGAGGGTGACTACTAATGGGTGCAGGTTTCTTTGTGAGGTAGTAAAAGGGTTCCAGACTTGATTGTGATTGCTGTTCTGTGAATATATCCCCCACAGAGCACGGAATTCCACACTTTAAATGGGTGAGCTGTATGGTATGTGGAGAAAAAAGCTGTTGCCAAAATAAGATGAAAACTTATTATAACAAAAAGCCATGTCAAAAAATTAGGAAATTTAGAAAGATTCTTTAAAAATCCTTGAAAATACAACTTACAGAAACTGATACTAGAAGAAATAGAAAATCTGCACACTTTTCAAAAAAAAATTGGGGGGGTAATTAGGTTTGTTTGTTAATTTGTTGACTTTATTTTTTGATGGAGGTACTGGGGGTTGAACCCAGGACCTTGTGCATGCTAGGCACACATTCTACCACTGAGCTATGTCCTGCCCCCTGAACACTCTTATATATAGTAAAGAAACAAAAGTTTCAAAAACCATCCCATAAAGGAAAAGCTTCACCAGTAATGCGAGAAAACATTTAAGGAAAAAATAACATCTTATACAAACCACCACAGACAACAGGAAAGAAGGGAGCGCTCCACGAGCCATTTTATGAAGCGAGCATCCAAGAACTAGAACGGAAGGGTATAAAGGAGCATTACCCACTCCTTAGGTGTGCGCTAAGCCCAATGCATTTTCCTTCCCAAAAGCACCCTCCAGAAAGGGGGGGGTGCTTGGTGTGGGTAACTTCACCACAGAGACACATGGCAGACACTCCCTCAGCCAGGTGAGCAAGGGTGACACCAGCAGTGATGAATCACAGTGACAGCACGGACCTTTGATATGATGTGATGAAAACAGCATTTCAGCTCTGTGGTCCTCCTTCCCAGAAGCTACAACCCCAGCATAATCACGAAAAAAGCATCAGATAAATTCCAACAGAAGGACATTCTAAAAACACTGACCAGTACTCCTCAAAACTATGAAGACCACTGCAAACAAGGAAAGTCTGAGAAACCGTCACAGCCCAGAGGAGCCAAAGGACACGTGACGACATGTAATGTGGGACCCAGATCGGGGGAAGGACATTAGGGAAAAGTGAGGAAATCTGAATAAAGCATGGGCTTCAGCTAACAATAATGTAATAAGATTGGTTTATTAAAAATGCAACAATACTAATGTAAGATGTTAGTAATTAATGAAAATGGGTGTGGGTATATGGGAATTCACGAGTACTATCTTTGCAATTTTTCTGTAAATCTAACAATGTTCTCACATAAAACATTAAAAGAAAAAAATTTTGTTAAAAGCCACTCTCACTTTAATGTAAAAATCTAAATAAAAATAAAGCAACTTATATTCAGCAATATGTGTGTGTGTGTGTGTATATATATATATATATATATATATATATATATAGAGAGAGAGAGAGAGAGAGAGAGAGAGAGAGGGAGAGAGAGAGAGAGAGAGAGAATACTACATCATGGTCAAGTTGAGTTTATACCAGGAATGCAAGGCTGGCTTAACATCAAACCTGATGCAAAAAAGCCTATCAATGTAAATCCACTACATTAATGGGATAAAAGAGAAAAGTCATACAACTGTCTCAATGGATACAAAGTGTTTTAGAAAAATAATATCTGTCCAGGATAAATGCTCTTAGCAAACAAGGAATAGAAGGCAACTTTCTCACTCTGATGAAGGCTGGCTACTAGAGATGTACAACACATACATCATATGGTGAATTGTTGAAAGCGTTCCCTTTGAGATGAGAAACAAGACAAAGATGCCTGGAGCCTCCTTCTATGTGATGAGGAGGGGTCCTACCCAGTGTGATGGGGGTGGGGAAGAAGAGAGAGAAATAAAACTGTCATCATTTCCAGATGATACGATTATGTAAGGAGAAAATCCAAAAGAATCTATGGATACTGTATTACGATTAATAAGTGAGTTTGGAAAAGTTGGTAGATACAGGGAAAGACACAAAAAGTAATTTTGATTTTTAATCAGTGATAAACATTCAGAAAAAACTTAGACCATCAAATATCAAACATCTAGAAATAAAGCTCATAAAAGATGTGTAAGAGTTTTACAAATGAAAAGAGAAATTAAAGAGAATCTTAACAATTAGAGGGACATATCATATTCATAAAACACGTTATAAATGTGTCAGTTCTTCCTAAAGTGATCTATATAGGTTTATTCGTATTCTCATGAAAAATTCCATCGGGTCTCCCTGGGATACGAAAAGATGATTCTAAAATGTGTATGAAAACATGAAGGGCAAGAACAGTCAAGGAACTCTTGAAAACATAAAGACCTGCTTTAACCTACAATTCACTATTGTAATTAAGACAAAGGGGTGTTAGGAAAGGACAAACTGACCAACAGATTAGAACACGAGCAGAGACACATCCGCCCAGGCCCGGCCACCTGACTCACCACAGAGGTGGCAAGTCAAGCAGCTGAGGGGTTGGGGGGGAGCGCATTTTAGATCTAAATGTGAAAGGCAGACTTGCATTAGAAGACAACGTAGGAGACTATCTTTGTGACCTCGGGAGTCTGCAAAGACTTCTTAAACGAGGCAGGAAATGCACAGCTCCAAAAGGAAAGAAAATGTTTGGCACAGAAATTAAATACTGTTCGTCAAAAGGGTCAGGAAGACCGTGCAGAGCTGGGGGAACCACGGCCAACACACAGGAGGGCCAGGAGCTGGGGTCTGCACAGCCGCAACGGGGTCTCCCTCTGGCCTCCGTGCGACACCCTGAAGCTGCTCCAGCTCACATGAGCCCTGACCTGCCCCAGGGGTCCACATGGAGACCAGGAACCCACAATCTCTTTTCCTCTCTGATTTGCTAGCCATGACAGATGCAAAGGGCTGCCCTCCACAGACATGAGGACATAAAATTGGCCATTTATTCACGTTTCTGCGTTTGCTTTGGGGAGGGAAGACAGCAGAAGGCCAGAGTGAGAGGCAGGCAGACAGAGCGCACCTCCACCAGGGCGAACTTCTCCTCGCTGGTGTAGTTGTAGCGGGTGGCGCGCTCGTACTCCTCGGCGTTGTCGGGGCAGTCCTTGTTGGAGTACTTGTCAGTGGGGTGCACGAGCTTCCAAGAATACTGGTGTGGGCAAAAAAGAGGGGAGACAGCCACGCTGAATGTGGAATCCGCCCCAGGACATCGCCAAAGCCACCAAAGGTCAGTCTTCTAATGTTCGCTGAGCCCGAGAGTCATGCACAGGCACGCGTGCTCACACACGCGCACGCCCCACATGCATGCACAGGTGCACGTGCACACCCACACGCATAGACACATGCACATGCTCCCTGTGCACACGCACGAGCCTGCACATACAGACATCGCATACATGCACACACACAACATATGCACACACAGTCCATCTCCATAAAACTGCAGAACGTTCTGGCCACGTGACTTTAAGAAATACATCACGTAAAATGGCCCGGACGTTTTGTGTAGACTATCCAAGACTACAATAAGCCTTTCATCACCACTTTTAAAAGAATTGGCCTTTCATACAATCAGATATCCATCCAAATAAAATAATCCATGTCTGATCAAATTAGACAAAAAAAGGGAAAATCTCCTATGACGTGGGTATCCGAATCTTTCTATGGCATCAGGAACTACGAATTCTAAATAAAAGAACTGATGGCTGGAACTACACAGACTATTGTTTAAATAACTGAGAATTAAACATCATAATGGTACAAATTTAATTCTGTCAATGTTTTAAAAGATAAGGCGCTGTACAAAAATGGCAAAATATCCTTTCTCGTGGGCAAGTTGTGTTCCATTACATGTATATGCTGCATCTTCTTCATCCATCCATCTAGTGACGTGCACTTAGGATGCTTCCATATCTTGGCAATTGTAAATAATGTTGCTGCTAATAGTGGAGTGTATGTATCTTTTTCAATTAATTCTTATTTTGTAGTTGGCTTTATTCTTTTGATAACTATGTAAGTTTAAAAAGTTAAAGCTCTGAATGTTCTTAGAAACAGTAAACAGTGCATATATGTAAATTTTAAAAATATGTGCAATATATTGTATATATATATATTTACATGCAATATATTGCATATGTGCAGTCAAATTGTAACAATTCTAATAAAACTGAAAAATGAAAAAGAGAAAAAAGATATGGCCCTGTATTTGTAACATACATAAATGAAATATACATTGAGTTATCTGAGAAACATTTAAATTCACACATATTCTTATTTCTAGTGTCAAAGGTAAAAAGCCAATTTGTTCTTTTTCTTTTTTTCTAATTTTTTTTGGGGGGGAGGTTTATTTATTTATTTATTTATTTATTATTATTTTTTTAATGGAGGAACTCGGGATTGAACCCAGCACCTCGTGCATGCTAAGCATTCACTCTACCAGAGTTATACCCTCCCACCAAAGCCAACTGGTTCTTGATCCAAAGATCCAAGTTGCTGCAGAAAAGTTTCCAAGTCAAAGTGGGAGAGCGCACCACTTCCATCACGTGAGCGCTCCACTGGGACAGCAGCTGCAGGCCCTGCAGCGCCAGGTCGAAGAGCTTCCGGTACTCGGCGTCCGTCTTCTGCGCCTCCTGGCGGCCGGAGCCCGTGACCACCTAGGGATGACAGAGCATCAGGAAGTCGCCCACGTCCGGGGAACCACCCATGACTCCCCTTCTAGGAGCCTACCCCACTCTGTACACTCACGAAAGTAGGAAATGATGTGAACACCAGACTCTTCACCATGTCACAAGGTGGGGGGACCACAGCTCAAAGCAGAGAAAGGCCAGCACCGACCATGCTGGAGGGGTCTCCAGACACAGTCCCGAGAGAAACGTGTGCACGGCATGTTTCCACGTAGCAAATGAAGGAAACCGTGCACACCACGTGTATTTGCTTATATCAAATAACGAAAACTTAGGTTTAAGAATGTTTATCTACAGGGTGGGAGGGCGTAGGGTGGAGGGGAAGGCATACTTCTTTGAATATACCTCCTTTGATACACCTGACTTTGGAACCACATAAACGGTTTATGTATCATGACATAAAGTTCAATTGGGGGGGAAAGCGATCCCCCAAACTCAAAAGCAAAATGAAACAATGAACTGAAGTACGCAGTCCTGAACTAGCACCATGACCACACACGGGAACCACACAGTGTAAGGGCCCAACGTGAGGATTTGGGTTGCCCAGGCAACCATTTCAAAGACATCCATCTTGAATAAACACATGAGCCAGCCCACCGTGAAGTTCCCCTTGTGAAGAAAGCCCACAGTGACCGAGATAACTGTAGCCTCTGCTTTTCCCTCCTGTGCCCTTATTTCCGCTCTTGTGTTTTAAATTTACCAACAGAGAATGAATCTGTGCCACCCTTGGGACCCCACCCTCAGCCCCAATAGGCAGAACCCCAGGTCGGTGCTCCCTCCCTCCCTAGGACCTCACAGGCATGCTGTGTGCCGTCTAGGACCTGTGAGTCATAAACCCTTTTTTCCCAAAGTTCTCTGATGGCCACTGCTGAGGGCATCTTGCAATCATAGTAAGAATCACAAGGGCCGGTCCAGCCACAGCACTGGCTCGGGGGGGGGGTGCGGGGCGGGGGGTCGTCTGTGGGGGCTGCCACAGCGGCACAGTTACAGGCTGTCTATAGGCTGAGACCAACATAAAACAAGCCACTTCAGCGACTTTGAAAAACAATGATTTGATTTAACATTCCTAGCAAAAGAAACCTAAGGACAAAACCAACTGCAGAGTAAATCTGAATTTCTAGTAATAATATTGTTATTAGCGGGGCCAGCACTGCTATTTTAAGACTGCTGAATGCATATTGAGGCATCAAGTCAAAATATGTGGAGTCATTAGGAACCAGACTTCCAGCATGGGAGAAAAAGAAGAAGACAGTGTTTTGAAGTAGTCTGACTTCAAAACACTACTCAGAAAAACTGGTTTGTTACTTTAGAAGATGCCAGGGGATCAATTATTTTCACAACTGATACATAAAGCAAAGGAATCCTGTCTGTGTGTCTCCGGGAGGAACAGGACCGTGGAGCAAGCAGCTGGGGAGGGGCTGAGAGGACCACCGGGCTGAGCCCTGGTGATGTCGCATCCTGGCGGGGACGCTGCCACCCACACCCAGAGAGCCAGCCGGACCCCCGCGGCCCTCAGCACAGGGGCCGCAGGACTGAAGGGGCCAGGAGGACGAGAGTGCAGTTTCACCCGGCCTCTGACCCAGGAGCACACAGGACACACCGGGGGCAGAGGAAACAGTAAATGACAAGAGTGACAACACAGGGATGAGGGAGATGCCGGAGAGGCACATGGACCAACTGCGGTGCACCGGACGAATGTAGACCCTGAGGAAACCAACCTGGAAAATAAACCACCGGTGCTAATGAGCGAACCCGGGACATGTGAACAATGAGCAGCTATTCAATGTTAAGGAATGTGTACTTGTGAGCTTTTTAGGGGTGATGGTATCATGGTTATGTGTAAAAAGGGCCCTTATCCTGTAGAGACACGTAGGAAATATTTTCAGAGGAAGTGCTTTGTTGTCTTAGATTTGCCTCCAGATGGAGGCGAAGGGCTGGAGGAGCAGCTGAGAGCGGCAGGCGAGGAAGCTGAGTGTGCACCCGAGGGGCCAGGACGGGTCTCTCTCCCTCTGTACACTTGGACATTCACATCACGGGGAAGTAAGAACAAAACCAAAAAAAAAAAAAACAAACAAAACTGCCCAGAACCTGCCTCTGGTCACTGTCATAAAGCGAGGAGACCTGGGGGCTCCCAGGGCCGCAGGACCTGCGCATACCTGCACTGATGTCCTTGTGGACTGCTCCAGCCCAGCCGCCGGCCCTGCTCAGAGCAAATGCTTACCCTCTGGTCAAAAGAAACCCCAACAAACGGCTTGAAAATATAATTAATAAGATAACTGCATTCACAATAGCATCAAAAGAAATAAAATACTTAGGGATAAACTTAACAGAAGAAGTACAGAGCATGCACTCCGAAAATGATAAAACAATGTTGAAAGAAATTAAAGGCGGTCTAAATAGGTGGAAGGACATCCCCCATGTTCATGGACTGAAGGACTGAAGGACTCAATATTGTTAAGATGTGAATATTCCCCAAACTAATGTACAGACTCACTGCAATCCCCATTAAAATTCCAGATGCCTGGGGGGGGCAGAAATTGACAAGCTGATCCTAAAAGTCATATGGAAATGCAGAGGATCCACAAATAATCTTGACAAAGATGACAAAACAATCTTCAAAAAGAAGGACAAAACTGGAGAGCTTATACAATCTGGTTTTAAGATTTACCATAAAACTAAATAATCAAGACAAGTGTGGTACTGGCATAAGGAAAGACATAAAGGTCCATATGGACCAGAACTGAGAGGCCAGAAATAAAGCCACAGGATTATAGTCGACTGATTTTCTTTCTCCCCCGAACCCAGTTTTTTTTGAGATACAACTGATACATAACTTTGTGTTAGTTTAAGGTGTACCGCATGATTTGGTAGGTACACACCGTCACCGTGAAACGATTACACAGTAACTTAACACCCGCCAACTCACATCATCTTTTTTCTTGTGATTAGAACTTTTAAGATTTACTCTCCTAACAACTTTCAATGCCACATTGTTAACTGTAGTCACCATGCTGTACATTACATCCTCAGAACTGGTGTATCTTACTACTGGAAGTTTGTATCTTTTGACCACCTTCACCCATTTACCCCACCCCTTGCCTCTGCCAAGCACCAGTCTGTTCTCTTTCTATGAGTCTGATTTTTCTGATTCCACATAAAAGTGAGGTCATACAGTATTTGTCTTTCTCTGCTGACTTACTTCACTTAGCATAATGTGCTTAAGGTCCATCCATGTTGTTACAAATGGCAGTATTTCCATCTTTTTTTTACAGCTGAATAATATCCCATTGCATAACAAACACCACATTTTCTTGACCCATTCCTCTGTCTATAGACCCTTAGTCTGTTTCTTTGCCTTGGCTATTGTAAATAATGCTGCAATGAACATGGGGTGTACAGCCAACTGATTTTTGATGAAGTGCCTTCAGTAGGGGTAAAAAGAGCCTAACAAACAATACTGGGAAAATTGGATATCCACACACAAAAGCATGTAGCTGGACCACCAATTTCATACCATGTAAAATAAGTAACTTAAAATGGATCATAGATCTAAATAGAAGAGCTAAAACTACAAAACTCTTAGAAGAAAACAAGGGGCAAATCTTTGTGACTTGGGTTAGGCAATAGTTTCTTCCTTATGACACAAAGGCACAACCAACCAAAGGAAAGAAATAGACAAAACTGGGCTACATCAAAAATAAAAAAAATTGTGCTTCAGAGGACATCATGAAGACAGCAAAAAGACACCCAAAGGAACAGGGGAAGATGTCTGAGAATCATATAACAGATAAAGGACTGGTATCCAGAATATATAAATAACTCACACAACTCATATTAACTACTATATATAAAATAAACAACAAAAATGTTCTGTGTAACACAGGAAACTACATTCAATATCTTGTAGTGACCTATAATGAAAAAGAATATGAAAATGAATAAATGCATGTATGTGTATGTATGCCTGAAGCACTATGCTGTACACCAAAAACTGATGTGTAACTGACACACTGTAACTGACTATACTTCAATTTGGGGGAAAAAAAAAAAAAAGAACTCACACAACTCAAGAGTAAAAAGTAAGGTAAATAACCCAATTTAAAAATGGGCAAGGCACTTCAAGAGACATTTCTTAACGAAGATACACAATCGGCCAACAAGCACATGACAAGGTACTCACTTTCGTTAGTCATCAAGAAAATACAAACCCAAACCACAACCAGGGTCCACTTCCTAGTCACTGGGTTGGCCAGAATCACAAAAACAGACAGCAACAGTGTAGACAAACATGCGGAGAAGTCAGAGCCCTCACACCCTGCTGGCGGGAATGTAAAATGGTGCGACCACCTTGAGAACAGCCTGGCAGTTCCTCAGCATATTAAACACAGAGCAACTCCACTCCCAGGGAGCTAACCCAAGAGAAATGAGAGCTTCCGTCCACACAAACACTTGTCCACAGATGCTCACAGCAGAGTTATTCATAACCCAACTGTCCATCCATCAACCTCAGGTAAACAAATCAACCAAGTGTGGTGTGTCCATGCAGTGGAGTATTATTCAGCCTCAAATTATTATAAATAAGCCATAAAATTATTGAGACATGCTGTAACATGGATGAACCTGAAAACACTATGTTCAATGAAAAAAGCCAGTCACCAAGGACCACATGTTACATGATTCCATTTATATGAAATGTCCAGCAGGCAAACCCACAGGCAGGCAGCAGATGCCAGGTGCTGAGGGAAGGGGCCGCGGAGTGACTGCTTATGGCGCAGAGCAATGAAAGTGCTCAGGATGGACTGTGGCCGCAGGACTCAGCGAATACACTAAAAACCTTCCAACTGCGCAATTTAAATGGGTGAATTGTCTGGTATGCGGATTCTACATAAATCTGTTTAAAAAATAAACTGAGCAAAGCATTCAAAAGTAGATCTCTTTCTTCTTATTAAAACCTTCATCTTATTACAAAGTACCAGAGCAGACCCCAGAAGGCAGACGGGACCACATGTGCTGCCAGACACGCCTGTTCAGAGGTGGAAACAAGCTTTCCGCGTGGTCTGTGAGCTCCTCAGGAGCGCAGTTTGCCATCACATTCTGAAGTCCCAGGGGCGGGCCCCCACCTCCACCCTGCGGGGCACGCTGGCCTCGGGAGGAGGGGTGAGGTGACGCTTCCTCATTGGGGAGCTGGCTGCTGACGAGGGGTCTGCAAGGAGGCAACGTGCTCCAAGCATTTGGGCTGTCTTTCAATCATTTTGGTTACATGATGACCACTGCCTGGGAGTGAGGGATGGGGTGCCCACTGTCCTGCAGTGGTCAGGGCCAGAAGACAGAGCTGTCCCCCAGATGTCGCGGTCCTCCTGAGAATCTGAAAAACCAGACCTGTGTACGTGGCCCCAAGTCCCCGGGTCCCCCTAGACCGCTCACAGCATCCACGCCACTGACCACCACTCTGACCCTGACCTCAATGCCTTGTCCACTAAGATGTGAGAAATGACACCCTCGCTGCTCCCCCTCAGACACCTGCCCCTTCCTGTACACCCCACATGCCAGCAGCGCTGGCTTAGAGCCAGGCTTGGCGCAGGTGTGGGGAACACGACCAGCCCAAACGAGGACACAGAAATCCTGGCTGCAAAGCTGGAAGGAATTAACAAGGCCTGGAGCCGAAGAGACAGCCCTTCCTCCTACGCCTACTCCAGGCTCCTCTGGGCCCCCCGACACCTCTTTCCCCTGACCCAGAGGCTCCTGCACTTCTTCCCTCTACATGCAAAAGGGGCACAAGTCAGAACCCCCGCAGTCTGTTCCCAATGTCCTCCCCTCCCCCTGGCTCTCTCCTAGCAGCGTGGAACCATTAAACAAGGAAATTCACTTCGCTCATGGTCCCGCCTCAGCCCTTTCTTTCGGGAGCCCTGTTACGTTTTTCTGAAAAAGATGCTTTTCTTAACAGATGAACAGATTCAAACAAACTCCATGATATCGGCACTGCCTCGTCCATTATGGTGAGCGCTTTTGAAGTACGTGGCACTAAACTATGTTTCTCAAAGCAACTGAAGGCAGTACTGGGTGCAGAGAACGCAAGGGCCACCCCCAGGGCCCAGGGCCCCAGGGCAGCGGCGGGCGGGGGCCACTCACCTCGCTGTTGCTGTAGCGCGCCAGCTCCGAGATGAAGCGCATGTGGTCCTCCCGGATCTGGACCATCTGCTCGCAGATGTTGTACTGCGGGCTGCTGCTGGAGGACGTGCACGTCCACCTGGTGGCGAAGCGAGAATGTGGGTCACCTGAGGGGCACCTGGCCGAGGGCACACACTCAGCAGGCCCGCCCGCCGTCCCTGGGAGCCCTGCGTGGCGCAGGGAGGAGGCGGAGCAGAGGGAACGTGGGATTCTCTGCAAGGTAACAGAGCCGGCCTGCCTCATCTCCTGGTGTCGGGGTTGCTGTGCTCCCTTCTCAGGTCTGTGTTCCGGAAAAAGAATCCTAATTCCTCCTTAATGAACAAACCACTGGGGGGAGGGTATAGCTCAAGGGGTAAAGCGCATGCTTAGCATGCACGAGGTCCTGGGTTCAATCCCCAGTCCCTCCTCTAAAAATAAAGAAATAATCAAACCTAATTACCCCCCTTGCACCTCCTCCCCCAAATAAAATAAAATAATTTAAAAACAAACTGCCTTCCACAAAGCTGCTGGATTCAGGACAACGCATCACCCGTGCCAAGACCCCTCGACATCTCACTGCAGAGTTGGCAGAACTAATGTTCCCCTATTACTCACATGCGAGAACATAAGCGCTAGTACAAACCGAGCCAGCCAAAGACTCAGGAACAAACGCCGTCCTTAACGGGAGAGCTGGAACTGACATCGCTTGGAACTTAGACAGTGTTGCCATAACTACCTACGTGCACAACACACCATTTCAGCAGCAAACCGATCCCATCAACGGAGTGGGGGAAAGTGTGTTAAGAATTAGATCTGAGGCGGAAGGTTTATAGCTCAGAGGTAGAGCGCATACTTAGCACGCACAAGGTCCTGGGTTCAATCCCCAGTCCCTCCTCTAAAAGTAAATAAAGAGATAAATCCAATTACCTCCCTCCTCCACCCCCACAAAAACAAGTAAGTTTAAAAAGAAAAAGAATTAAATCTGTCAGAGCTATTGGGCAGAAAGCATAGGCCTTGGGGCTCGGAGAGCGGGTGGTTCCTCACACTCAGCACCAACCCTCACCATGTTTTTGACGAGTTGGTCCCCTTTGCTTGAAGGGAGGGACTCAGGTGACCAGTTTTCAAGATGCTCAGTACACTGTCTCAAGGAGCATCCCTTTTTAACTTTCTGATTCCACTACAGGGTGACGTGACGAATACGGAGGCATTAGCCAAGGCAGCTCCCCGAGTCTGCAGGGCGCACACGAGGCCCAGGTCCCGCGCCAGATCCACCCTCAACACACCCACCTCCCCTGAGCCTGGTGCCAACACCTGCCCACCCTGTGCCCACCCTGTCTGGGCCCAGACACGAGTGCTGGGCCTCGGGCCTGGGCTCTCGGAGCTGACTGCTCCCTCCCTCGGAGGCTGTGAAACACAGCATTTCATTGGTATTAAAGGCCATCAACTTGAAAGAAATATTATGAAATACAAAGAAAGTCTGCAAAAGTCATTGCTTCTTGACGCTCTTACCATTACCTGTGACCTAGACCTGACTGGTAGGGTAGGAGCTATTACACTGCAAGGTGCTAACTTGAACTCAGGCATGACGGGGCCACTCACACCCTGGAAATCAGCACACACTCCAGATCGGAGCTCCAGTGGATGCTGGAGTGCAAAGCGGTTCCAGTTTAGTGAATGTCACCAAGAGGAAGGCTACCATGTGTCAGACGTGACAGCAGATGGGTCAGGAAGCGAGCTGGCACGGAGGTCAGCCAACCACAGCCAGGGGCCAGTTTTGGTACAGCCATACAAAATGGTTTTCAGTTTTAAAAAGTCATTTAAAAAAACAAACAACAACAAAAAAGGATGTGTGACACATGTGGCCAGAAAAGCCTCACGTGCTGAACGGTTTGGCCTTCACAGAAAAAGCCTGCTGACCCTTGAGTAAAACAAGTGACTGAGGTACAGCTGCGTTTTTCAAAACCTCGGCTGAATGGTGACCACACGTTTGGCAGAAGTGGACAAGAGCATCCTAGGAGACTCAACTGGCTTCGCGGGATCTGCAATCAAGACACGGCGAATTTATCACCACTGTGATTGGAGCTGCAGATCCCTTATGGCAGAAGTCGGCCAGCTTCTCAGGCCAGGCCCAGACAGCAAATATTTTAGGATTTAGGGCCACACTGTCTCAGTCCCATGTCTCATACAGCTGTCATCTTAAAAAAAACACAAAAAATGTAAAGACCATTCTCAATCACAGAGGCCTTACAATAGGCTTGGCCTGAATTTGGCCCCTGGGTGGTGGTTCTGTAGCCTCTGTTAGATACATGCAGACATCCCCTGCCCCACAATAGGCTGGTGGTGAAGCATTTACCAACACACCATTGGTCCCAGAGAATTTGTTTATAGTTCTGTGTTGGTGAGCAGCTTTGGCCAAAAGAACTCTCTGGGCTGATGGCAAAGGTCTACCCCTGTGCTGACCGACACGGCATCCCTAAGTATTAAACATCTGACATGTGGCTGTTCTACTAAGGAAATCAATTGCATTTGTAAATGAATTTAGGAAAAAGAAATAAAAGGGACCCAAACTGGAAGAGAAGAGGTAAAACTGTCACTGTATGTGGATGGCATGATACTCTATACAGAAAACCCTAAAGGTGCCACACAAAAACTACTAGAGCTGATAAAAGTCAGCAAGATTAACATGCAGAAATCAGCTGTAAATGAACTTAAATGTCACCATCCATGTGTGGAAAAGCCTACTGTTTCAGGCATTTGGTTTCACGTGGTGGAGACTGTCAACGGTGCCATCTCTGGATTGATAAACGGACCATCATAACCAACAGGGGAACGGTGCAGAACACGCTGACCTGCCAGCTTCCCCTTCGCCTACCGAGATTTATTTTCCTCGTAGTGGGCGCTGGTCTTGATGTATCTCGCCAGCTCTATTTGCATGTCCCCGAACAGCGGAACCACCTGGAGCTGCTGTATTAAAAGAACAAAAACACCCAGGGTCATGATATGTGTTTAGTCACCAAATACAATCGCAAGAAGGATGAGTAATGCTAATAATGACTGTGGGCTGAATGCTATCTCTGCCAGTCACTACTGCAAAAAACATGCAAACAGCTTCTACATTCACTTTAAGAAGAACAAAATAGAAGTTAAGAAGCAATGTTCATAAAACCAAATATTAAAATTAACCTACCTTGTTGCTAGATCCATGCTCATTAAAAAAAAAAATCGAGTGTATTTCTACATACTAGGAAAAAACAATTCGAAAATGAAAACCTAAAGAAAAAAATTGCAATAGCATCAAAAAAAGCATACATATGATTAAATCTAACAAAGTATGTGCAGGATTTCTAAATAAAAATACTCTACTCTAAAAATTCTAGAGAAATTTTAAAAATTCTAAGTGAATGGAGAAATACATTAGGTTCATATATTGGAAGACATGGTATTTTAAAAATATTCATTCTCCCTAAATTGATCTCTAGATTCAATGGAATCCGAAACATTATTCCAAGAGGAAAAATGGTTTATGTGGGGTATGTGTATCTGTGTGTGTGTGTGTGTGTGTAAATCAGCAAGCCGATTCTAAAATGGCCAAGACAATCATGAAGAACACAAATCGAAGATTTCCTGATAAGCAGACCTACTGGAAAGTTACAGCAACTGAGTCAGTCTGGCCCCAGAGCAAAAGTGCAGACCAGTGGGCAGAGCAGAGGGCTTAAGGCAGAGTCATGCATATAGAGACACCTGCTTTATGACCCACGTGACTCTGCAGAGCAGCAGGGGAGAAAAATCCAAGGATGGCAACCCTCCACCTCGCAGCAGACACGAGGCCAGTTCCAGGAGGATTACTGATCTAGATGGACAAGGAAACAGTGATGCTTCTACAAGGCAATACAGAAGAAAATTCTCAGGAGCCCGCTTTAGCAGAGATTTCTTAAAGTGGACATCAAAGATTGATACATTGAACTACATTAAAATTAAGGACCCCAGTTCACCAAATGACTGTAAAAAAGTGGAAAAAAGAACCACAAGGGGAAATGCATATATTTCAGGGCACATGCAGTCGACAAAGGACACATTCCCATAGTACATAAAGAACTACAAACCAACAAGGGTAAAAACAGTAAGAGATATCAAATACTAACTACTATATATAAAATAGATAAAAGACAAATTTCTTCTGTACAGCACAGGGAACTATATTCAGTATCTTGTACCTATAATGAAAGCAAATATGGAAACATATATATGCATTTATATGTATGACTGAAACGTTATGCTGTACATCAGAAACTGACACGTTGTAACTGACTAGACTTCAATAAATAAATAAAAACAAAATAAATATCTTAAAAAAAGAATAAGAGATTTGAAAGGACACTTCACAAGAGAGAACACACAAAAGACTGGTAATATTGTGAAAAGCCATCAGGGAAACAGCAGCTAAACCACAAGGAAACACGAGGATGACGATGACACATGGACCCACCCTTCAGGAGGGCGCTCCACCAAAAACTGCCAGAGCCAAGCGTTGCTGAGGACATGGAGATACGAGAAGGCTCACTCACTCCTGGTGGGGACGTAAGTCAGCTCAGCCACAGGGGAGCGTGGTTAGGCTAATCCACTACCCTGAAAATGTGTATTCCCCTGACCCCCAATCCACCACTGGTAGTCATGCAACAGAAATGTGCAGATGTGCACAGATCAGAGCACTGTTTGGACAATTATAAAATCCAGAAACAAGCTCATGTTCATGACGAAAGACTGGATGAATAAATTGCTGTCTAATCAGAACATGCAGTGTTACAGCACAGTGAAAATATAAGAACCACAGCTGCAGGCTCCCACGTGGACGACCTGAGAGTGAGGGCAGCCAGATGTGAAAGAGTACCCATGGCACGACTCCTTCAGACAAGGGTCAAACCCAGGCACAACCAGCGCGGGGGAGGAGACCACCTCCCCGCCCCACCCCCACCCCTGCGTTCCCCAGTGCGGGACACGGTCACGGGGGTTCGCCTCCCAGAGCTCAAACTGCATGCACTTCGATAAAAAGGTTTAGCTAAAAACTGTAACTCACCTTGAAGTACTTGTCGATTTTGGATAAGTTTATTCTTTTCTTGGCATCTAGTTTATAAATGTTGCTGACACTACCATCCATCAAGTACAGGCCAAAGCCCATGACCTGCAAATCACAGAACGACACATACAGCTCGGACCTGCAAGTTCAATTACCCATGAGAAGTTACACTGCTACACTTCATAGTTTTTTTTTTTTAAATAGAGGTACAGGGGATTGAACCCAGGACCTCACGCATGCTAAGCACACGCTCTACCACTAAGCTATACCTTCCCCCTCAGTTCATAATTTTGAAATGACAATTCATTCTTCTTTCAAAAATTGAAGTATAATTGACCTACCACAGTATGTTAGGTCCAGGTGCACAACACAGTGATTTGTTTCTTCTAAACAGTAAAACAAATGATCACCATGATGTCTAGTTACCATCTGTCACCACACAAAGATATTACAATATTATTGACTATATTCCCCATGCTGTATATTTCATTCCCACAACTCATTTATGTTATAACTGGAAGTCGGTACATCTTAATCTCTCTCACCTACTTCACTCATCTCCCGTCTCCCTTGGGAACTGGGAACCCTGCTTATTCTGTTTTACGTTTGTTCATTTTTTTTCAGATTCCTCATATAAGTGATATCACATAGCATTTGTCTTTTTCTGACTGACTTATTTCACTTAGCATAATACCCACAAGGTCCAACCATTGTTATCACAAATGACAAGATTTCATTCTTTTTCATGGCTGAGTAATATTCCAGTGTGTGTGTGTGTGTGCGCGCGCACGTGCATGCATCTTCTTATTATCTATCAATGTACACTTAGGTTGCTTTTGTGTCTCGGCCATTGTTGCAATGCTTCAATGAACACTGGTGTGCATGTATCTTTTCAAATTATTTTTTCTTCACATAAACATCCCGAAGTGGAATTGCTGGACCCTATGGTAATCCTACTTCTAATTTTGGTGGAACCTCCATACCATTTTCTGTAGTGGCTATACCAATTCACATTCTCACCAACAGGGCATGAGAGGGTTCCCTTTTCTCCACATCCTCACCAACACTTGTTATTTGTTGTCTTTTTGATTACAGCCATTCAGAGAGGTGTGAGGTGATATCTCATTGTGGTTTTATTTGTTTTTCCCTAATGAAGAGTGATATGGGGCATGTTTTCATGTGCCTGTTGGCCATCAGTATGTCTTCTTTGGAAAAATGCCTGTTCGGATCCTCTGCCCACTTTTAAATTGAATTGTTTGTTTTCTTGATTGTTAAGTTGTATGAGTTCTTTGCATATTTTGGATATTAACCCTTTATTGGATATATTGCTTGCAAATGTCTTTTCCATTCAGCAGGTGGCCTTTTCATTTTGTTCATGGTTTCCTTTGCTTTTTTGTTTGATGTAGTGCCATTTGTTTATTTTTGCTTTTGCTTCCCTTGCCTGAGGAGACAGATCCAAAAAATATTGCTAAAACTGACGTCAAAGAGCTTTCTGCAGGGGGGGAGGGTATAGCTCAGTGGTAGAGCACATGCTTAGCATGCCTGAGGTCCTTTGTTCGATCCCCAGTACCTCCATTAAATAAACGAACAAACAAACCTAATAATCTTTCCCCAATCCCCCACCAAAAAAAGGCATTCTGCTAATGTTTCCTTCTAGGAGTTTTATGGTTTCAGGTCTTAACATTTAAATCTTTAATCCATTTTCAATTTATTTTTGTATATGGTGTGAGAGACTAATCCAGTAAAATTCTTTTGCAAGCAGCTATTCAGTTTTCCCAACACCACTTACTGAAGAGGCTGTGTTTTCCCTGTCATATATTCTTGCCCACTTTGTCTTGGATTAATTGCCCATTTAAGTGTGGATTTATTTCTGGGCTCTGTTTCATTGATCTATGTGTCTGTTTTGTGCCAGTACCATCCCGTTCTGATTACTGTAGCTTTGTAGTACAGTTTGAAGCCAAGGAGTGTGATACCTCCAGCTTTCTTCTTATTTTTCAAGATCATTTTGGCTATTCAGGGTCTTTTGTGCTTCTATACAAATGCTAGAATTATTTGTTCTAGTTCTGTGAAAAATGTATTGGCATTTTGATAGGGGTTGCACCAAATCTGCAGATTGCCTTGAGTAGTATGGTCATTTTTAACAATATTAAGTCTTCCAATCACATAAGCACAAAAGATCTTTCCATCTGTTTGCATTGTCTTCAGTTTCTTTCAACAATGTCTTAAAGTTTTCTCAGTATAGATCTTTTAAGCCCTTGGTTAGATTCATTCCTAGGTATTTTATTTTTTGATGCAATTGTAAATGGGATTTTTAAAAAAATTTTCTTTCTGATAGTTCATTGTTAGTGTATAGAACTATAATACACTATATATTTCTTTATATTAATTTTCTTTATATTAATTTTCTATCCTGCAACTTCACTGAATTTATGAATTAGTTCTAACAGATTTTTGCTGGTGTCTTTAGTATCTTCTATATATAGTATCATACCATCTGCAGGGTTTCCAATATGGATTCCTTTAATTTCTTTCCCTTGTCTGACTGATGTGGCCAGGACCTCCAATGCTATGTTGAATAGAAGTGGTGAGAGTGGTGGACATCCTTGTCTCGTTCCTGATCTTAGAGGAAATGCTTTTCCTGTTGATCATGTGGGCTTGCCATATATGGCCTTTATCAAGTTGAGGTATGTGACCTCTATACTCACTTTGTTGAGATTTTTAAAATCATAAATGGATGTTGAATTTTGTCAAAAGCTTTTTCCACATCTACTGAGGTGATCATATGATTTTTATTCAATTGGTTTTTAAAACTTATTTTATTATTTTTTAGGAGGAGGTAATTAGGTTTATTTATTTATTTATTTTAATGGAAGTACTGGGGATTGAACCCAGGACCTGTGCATGTTAAGCTGCACCCTCCCCCCTCAGTTTGTTAATGTGGTGAAACACAATGATTGATTTGCGGACGTCGAACCATCACTGCATCCCTGGGATAAATCCCACTTGATCATGATGTATGATCATTTTAGTATTTTGCTGACTTTGGTTTGCTAATACTTTGTTGAGCATGTTTGCATCTGTGTTTACCAGTAATATTGGCCTGTAATTTTCTTGTGTGTGATATCTTTGGTCTCAGTATCCAGGTGATGCTGGCCTTATAGAATGAGTCTGGAAGCCTTCTTTACTCTTCAATTTTGGGGAACATTTTAAGGACTGGTGTCAACTCTTCTTTAAATGTTTGGTAGACTTCACCCATGAAGCCATCTGGTCCTGGACTTTTGTTTGTTGGGAGTTTTTGATCACCAATTTCATTAGTGTAATCAGTTTGTTCATATTTTCTATTTCTTTCTGATTCATCTTGGGAGATTGTATGTTTCTAGCAGTTCACCCATTTCTTCTAGGTTGTCCATTTTATTGACATACAATCGTTTGTAGTAATCTCTTACAGTCCTTTGACTTTCTGTGGTGTTGGTTGTAACTTCTTTTCTGTTTGTGACTTTACTGATTTGGGCCCTCTCTATGTTTTTCTTGTCAAACTAAAGGTTTATAGATTTCATTTTTTCGAAGAAACAGCTCTTAGTTTCATTGACTTTTTCTATTATTAAAAAGTAATCACTATTTCATTTATTTTCACTCTCACTCTTTATTATTTCTTTCTACTAACTTTGGGTTTTGTTTGTTCTTCTTTTTCTAATGCCTTCAGGTGTCAGGGTTAGATTGGTTATTTGAGATTTTTCCGGTTTCCTAAGGTAGGTTTGTATTGTTATAAACTTCCCTCTGAGAACTCTACTTTTGCTGCGTCCCATACAGTTTGGATCACTGAGTTTCCACTGTCATTTGTCTCCAGGTACTTTTAATTTCTTCTTTGATTTCTTCAGTGACACACTGGTTTTCTAGTCGCATGTTGTTTAGCCTCCACGTTGCTATGTTTTCTGTCCTTATCATATGTTACGTCCTTTGACTCTTCTTAACAGTCTTTGTTTTAGTCTATTTTGTCTGATGTAGGTATTGCCACCCGAGCTTTCTTTTCATTTCCGTCTGTGTGAAATATCATTTTCCACTCCATCACTTTCAATCTGTGTGTCTTTAGATCTGAAGTGAGAATCTTAAAGGCAGCATTTTTTTAACCGGTTCAGCACTGGATGTCTTGTGACTGGAGCATGTCGTCCACTCATCAAGTAATTATTGACAGGTACGTACTTACTGCCATTTTGTTCATTCATTTCTGGTTGCTTTTGTAGCTCCTTTTTGTTCCTTTCTTCTCTTTTTGCTCTCTAGCCTTGTGATTTGAAGACTACCTTTAGTAGTTTGTTTGAATTCCTTTCTGTCTTTTGTGTATCTATTATAAAATTTTGGTTGTGGTTATCATGAGGTTTCAATATAGCAACCTATATGTTAAGTTATGATCTCTTCAGTTCGGATTCATTCTAATAACCCTGCAGTTTTACTCCTCCACCAAAGCTTCATGTTTTTGGCATGATGTTTTACATCTTTCTGTTTTGTGCATCACTTAACCTCTTGTGGCTGCAGATGATTTTACTACTTTTGTCTTTTTAACCTTCTTACCAGCTTTGTTAAGTAGTTGATCTACTGTCTTTACCGAAATTTGCCTTAACAATGAAATTTTTCTTTCTGTAGTTTTAATACTTCTAGTGCTGGTAAAAAGCACCTTTAAAAGTTGCTCAGAAATGAACAGTTATCCCTTCCTGTGAAGCTATTTTATGTCATTTCTTGGGTTGCCTTCCAGGTGCACATACCAGCTCCATCTCTGGTCAAGCACAATGCAATACTCAATGTGGACTTTCCTAAGTACCCATGGCCAGGGGCTCCTACACCAGTAGGTGCAAACGGAATGTTTCTGCTAACACAAAGCACTCCACTGGACAGTGCCCTCTTGCTCTGACCCCTACACGCTGTTCTCCTGCGAGGAAGAGGTCTCAGAGCTGCGCCCACCTGCAGAGGGGTTTGGGTCAGCAGGACACCCAGCACAGGATCCCCCACGGCTCCCCTCCGTGAAGGCAGAGAGAGGGTAGAGGGAACAGCAGAAGTGTCTTCTCATCTTTTCATCACCTGAGAGACGTCATTGAAAACCTCCCCCATTTGAAACAGAGTAATAATGAAGAATATGCTAAATGGCATGTTTCTTGACCAACACAAGTCTATTGGGATCATGGTGACATAGTCCACTGAATTTCTAGGAGTTACATCCTTATCAAGTAGAATGCGGTACAGCCTCACCTATGAAGCTTCATGCTGAGAGAAGCCCTTGACCCACAACCTCTTCACCTTATCCAGGGATGGGCACGTGATCCACCCGGCACTGGGGTCAAGCTCAGAACATACTCACGGGAATGTATTAAGGACTTGTAGTGCAAAAGGCATGCAGGGTGGAGGATGCCGTATGTATACACACACCCACACCCACACCCTCCTCAAGCAGGAGAATTAGAAAAGTCTGGCGAAAAGGATGACAGACAAAGTGCAGCCTCTTCACGAGAGCCAGGCCGCCCCTCTCTCACGGTGCTGGGGGCAGCCCACCCTCAACACACGTACTTTGAGAAGCATGTGTTTCTCACTGGGCGTCAGATACATCCTGTTCTCGTAGTAATCCACACACAGGTTCACGATGTCCGCTAAGAGCTCTTCATAGCCAGAAATCACTTCGAGCTGCTGCTGCAGAGACTGAAACACCGAGTGAGACCTGTGTCACTGACTGCTCTCTGTTCCCCAGACCACCCACCCGCCCCTGTCCCCCGGCAGGGATGCACCACATCCACCCGAGGGGCAAGAGCGTGACTTACTTGTGTGATCTTGTTGTGGTTGGCCAGGAACATGGACAGGTTCTGTGATTCCTGGATGGACTGTGGGTCTGCCATTTTACGTAAAAACTGAGCAGCCCTATGAGAGAAAAAACAAAACCAAACCAGGGTTCATCAACCAACATGCTTAATGGCTTAAAATGTGCGTCTTAGAAGCTGGTTACGATTTCAGCCTCCTACGGCTTTCCACTGAACTCCAGGGAAGTCTCTTTGCAACCAGGACAGCTCAGGACCCCACTGTCCAGTTGACGGACTTCCTCAGAGATGTGGCAGCACAGCCCACAGGCATCCCCAAAGGGCACCCACACACTGGCCTCTCCCCTGGGCCCCCTGTCCCCAAGTCTGAGAAAGGCAGCCACTCCCCGTGACTCCCAGAGCTGGGTGACTAAGATGGCCAGCATCACTCAGCTTCTCCACCAGGAACCTCCCACAGGTCAGGGACCACACCACCCAGTTCTGGTGCCAAAGGTCTGAGATAGAATCCTGATTCCATCACCGACTTGCAGCTCCATCTTGGACAAACCTAAAGATCTGGTGCCAATTCTAATACGGGAGGTGGGATTTCCCACACTGCCTAGCGATTCCCTGACACAAGCTGGGTGTCCTACAATCAACTCAATTCTGACACCACCTGAAGACACCATCAGACCTCACAATGTAAGGGCTCAAGTCCTACACGACTGTGCGCCATCCCCCAACTTTAGACACCAACTGGAGGTCGAGGTTGTCACCTGTGCTTCTGACCAACCAGCTACAGATCAGCAGTCCCAAAAGCCCCTTCCTTGGGTTCAATTAATTTGTCAGAGCAGCTCACAGAACTTAGAGAAATGTACTAGATTAACAGTTTATTATAAAGCATATAATGTAGAACCACCAGATAGAAGACATACAGAGGGCGAGGTATGGGGAAAGGGTGGGGGGCTTCTATGCCCTCTTCAAGCACCACTCTCCCCCAAACCTCCACATGTTCACCAACCTGGAAGCTGCCTGCATGCCCTCCCTTGGGGCTTTTATGGAGGATTTCATCCATAAGCCTGACTGATTTGATCACCGGACACTGGTGATGGATTCAACCTCCAACCCCTCTCCAGTCCCTGAGGTCAGGAAGATAGGACCCAGAGTTGAAACCCTCTAATTACAGGGTTGGTTCCTCTGGTGACCAGCCCCCATCCTCGGGTTACCTAAGGGCTTTCAAAAAGTCACCACGTTAACATAATAAAAGACACTTTATTGCTCTCATCACAGGAAATCCCAAGGGTTTCAGGAGCTCCGTGCCAAAAATGGGGATGAAGACCAAATATATCTTATTATAAATCACTACCACACCTCCTGAACTGACTCTCACTTATCGTATCTGTGAAAAACGACAGCTGCGTGACCTACCCCCGGGGCTGACAGGGGAAGGTGGACACAGGACCTGTACGCTGAGGTCCAACAATCCTGCGTGGCTCGGCCCGAGTCTCTAGGTCTTGCAAAGCAGTGTGAGAGCACACTGAAGGCTTCCCCTAAAACGTTTAGTGGAAACGCCCACGTCAGGCCCTGTCTGTGCAACCTAGTGCCTCGGGGGTTTTCCTAAAGAAAAGCTTCACGGCAAAGACCGGTAACCTACCCCAGCTGTCATCTTCCTCCCTTCCTGCTTCGGAATGAACCCTGAATTTCTGTCCTGGGCACAGATTTTCTGAAGAGAATCAGAGGACAGGGGCTCTGTTCTGCCGGCCACCAACGCACTCACAGTCCCCCAGACACACTCTGCCTGTCGAGCCCACCTTTTCCAATTCTCTCCTCCAGGTCTCTACACTCAGAAAGAAAACTGCCCGCGAGGAGAGCTGGTCTAGGGGAGCCTGTGGTCCAGGGGCCAGATGTGCCCACCGCTGCGAGGGTGTGCGCCTGCGGGGACGCGCCAATCAGGGAACGAGGGGTGGAGCCACCTGCCAAGGCCGGTCCTCCCGGGGCACCCAGAGCCCAGTGGGGCCACACACACGCCAGCCAGGATGCACAGCCACACTGTGACCTGAGCCGCTCGCCGGCGGTGCTGAGACCCGCCCGACTGGGGCGCGCACCTCACGGGGCGCTCCGGGCTCACCTCTTGTAGGCGGAGTGGTCGTTCTTGACGCTGCATTTCATGTTCTTCAGCTCGTCCAACACAGCGAACATGTTGATGAACTTGCCCAGGGTGATGAGGTAGGCCTCCGACACGAAGTCCTTCCTCCTCTCCGCGTGGCACAGGCGCCTCACCTCCCCACAGAAGCGCTCGATGGCGTTTCTCTGAGCCGAGGAAGGGAGGGCAGAGACGCCACTTTCAGGGACCCGCCGACCCCAAGCCCAGCGCCCAGGTTCGCGTTACTTGCTGATGAAACGGTGGCCCCTCGAGTGCACGTTTACAGCTCAGGTAAAGAGACGCGTTTCCAGAAAGTGATTTCTACCTGCCTCTCCTCTGTTAAGGGGACTCAATTGTGCCCTTTACCAACAAGGTCCCCAAAGTAAAAGAATTGTGTTGCTTGTTCCAGCAAAGTTACAGAGCAAAATGCTCCAAAGAACGTCTGTAAAGCAGGTGCTTTAGCTTTCAGAGCTCAAAAGGGGGCGGGGGGATGTCCACCTGACAACCTAAGATCAAACAAATTTATCACTTAGTAAGTTCTCTCTTCTCCATTTGCTAAAGGAATCTAACAAAAACTTGTACACATTTCTAAAGTATGTCTTTAAAAAACCAACAAGTCCCCTCCCTGGGGCCCCTCTGCCTAGCCCAAGGGCCAGAAGGAATTGAGGCCAGGGTGAAGCCCACCAGAGTGGACAATCGAGGCAAAAGCACCTGAAAACCAGGAGAATCGAAAGTAGGCCAAGCAAGCACACTGGTGGAAAGCAGCCTTCATGTGGGGAAATAAATTCAGTCCCAAAGGCAGAAGAGAAGTGAAACACAGATGCAGCCCTTATTCTGAAAGGGCCAGTAAAGCATTAGACTGTCAAAGGCTTCATTCGTTCTCTTGGGTCTCAGACCTGCTGTGTCGGCTGTAATTTATATGCACTTCTAGTGAGCAGTTGGTGATGGGCGGGTGAGAGGGCGCCAGCATCCCACCCCCTGCATTAAACCCCGGGGATTATTTCACCGTTTTACCTGGAAGTACATAAAATTCATCAGTTTTGTGACCTCAGGCTCAAGGACCTCCACAGTTTTCTCATAAATTTCCACTCTATTAGGCTGTTCGTTACATTTCACCTGGGGGTAAACAATCACGACATAGGTTTCAACCCAGAGAGAATACGGGGAGGGCACTGGGGTGGAGTGGGCGGGAGGTGGGCGTGGCCTGGCTGGGCAGGGGGGCGGGGCCCGGTCTGAATGGGGCAGGGCGTGGCCAGTAGGGATAGGGTGGGGTCTGGCTGGGAGGCGGCACCTGCGGGATGGCCCGGGAGCAGCTCCTCCAGGTGTACAGCATGACAGCGTATTCTTGGCCTTCCTCCAGCATCTCATTCTGCAAAGGTACACAGGGCAAATCAAAGGCGAGTAGGAGAACAATTCTAAGAAAGGGGATGCCAAATTGCTAACATTCGGCTTCTTCTCTTCTTCCTCACTAGGTATCCTATCAGGATAGTACAGAACAAGTGACATTTGCCATTCAGCTGTGCCATCCCCCCAAGGGAAACAGGCAGACGGAGTTACCATGCTAGAATGGATGGTCGCCTGTTCAATGTATCTTGCAATGCCGGTGACAAATGCATTTCTGTCTTCAAAATTAGTGTTGAAATTTGGCTGAAAGGAAGAAGAAAACCGTCATGCAGACATCAGCATCGCAGGCTGTCTCCCCCACACCCCCAGCCATGGCCGCCCAGCACCCACCTGGTAGAGCAGTGAGGATGGTGGGGGCTCGATGCAGGGCTGCTGGTCGGGCAGAGGCAGCTCTTCCAGGAGGTCCACATTGGACAGCGCATCCTCCAGGGTCACCTGGGCCGCCATCCTGGCTTAGGACAAAGCACAAAGCCACCTGCGCCATGAGGACGGGCAGTGGCATCCTGACAGTCCTTCCAGGGTAGGGTTTTCAGGCCCCTGCTCCCCTGTGTCCTCTCCTGGGGTCCCGTCCCTGGGGTCTGGCATCTTGCTCTGGGCTCACCAGCAGGGGAGTCACATCGCAGCCTCTCCTGGTCGTGGTGCAGGGCACATGGGCCAACACACATGCCATCGCTTCCTGTCACCTTCCTACCTCCGGGCCACAGTCCCAGAGGGCTCTCTGCGAGGGTCTGACAACCCCTGCACTGAGCTGGAGGAGAAAAGGGCTCCTGCAACAGCACGTGGGCTCCCAGGAAGCCAGCACAGCCTCGGAGGGGCAACAGCGCTGCCCCACCACTGATGCTTCCCCGGCAGGCCCTCCAAGCAGGGCCACACGCTAGGGACAGGGATGGAAAAGGCCAGAGCCTGGTCTCCAGGGGCACAAGACAGCCTGCAAGAACCACTCAGGTGAGGCCGGGGGCCAAGGGAAGGAAACCAGGAGGAGGCTGTTGGCAGAGGACCGACAGCAGACACTCCGTGGCTGGCATTCAGAAGCGCAGAAGTGGAGCCGGATTCATGGATACACCTGTGCTGGCTCCAGGGACAGCGAACCAGCGCTCTCTTCCCACTGAATGCTGTCCTGACCCCGGACAGGATGCGTGGGGCAGCTCCGTTCATTCTGAGGAGTTAAAAGCGGCAGAGGAGCTGGACAAGAACACAGAACAGAAGAAGCACCCAGCTGCTCCCCCGGGCACTGGGCCAGACCAGGTGTGGGAGTTGAAGTGCGCAGCGGGGCAAACTTCCAAAGCCCTGGTGTGCTGGTCAGAGAATGAAAAGGGAACCCTGGGCACTGGAAAGCCCCAGGGGCAGTTGTGGGGAGGAAGAAGTTCAGAAGAGCAAGCCCACAAAGCTGCTGGCAAATGTCAGGCTGGTGTCCAAGCTGCACATGCGCGGATCTGACTGTCACACCCCCAAGCCCAAGTCCACAGTCAGGTCCCAGGTGGCGACAGGAGGCATATGCAGGACAAATCAGAATGGTACTACTGAGCCCCCAGGACAGAGCTGACACTACACCACAACCCATAGAGGGCAGGTCAGAACTGCAGCCTAAATCGAACCAAATGGTTTGTTTGCCTCCTAAGAAAAAAAAAGTCACTATTTTCCCAAGATTTAAACAAGATCCAGAGTCTCCTATTATAATACCCAAAATGTCCAACTGCAATCCAAACTCCTCAGCAAAGAACCAGTGATGTCTTAACTCTTATGGGAACAGATGAGCAACAGATAGCAAGGCCAGAACAACAGAGATACTACAATTATCCACCAGACTTAAATCAACTACTATAACAATGCTGGAAACAAACTCCTGAGACAAAAATGGGAAGTAGCAAATAAATAAATAAAAAGATACAAAGAACCAAACGGAAATTTAGACCTAAAAAAAGAAGAAAAAACCCACTGAAATTTTAAAAACTCCCCACAGGAGCTTATTAAGAGCAGAGGAAAGATTCAGTGAACTCGAAGACGGAGCAATAGAAAGGATCTAATCTGAATGACAGAGAGAAAAAAAGACTGAAAAAACATGGGGAGACTTAGAATAAGGGGGAGCCTTGGGGACAAGGGGAGAAGTCCAACACTGTGTCATCAGGGTGCGAGACGGGAAGCAGACAGTGGGCAGTGCTGGAAAACAGTTGGAAAAAGACCGAGAACTTCACAAGTGTGGCTACACTTGGGTCTACAGATTCGAGAAGCTCAACAGATTCCAAGCAAGATAAACCTGAAAATCCCATACCCAGACACATCACCGTCACACTGCTGACAAATAAAGACAATGAAAAAATACCTTGAAAACAGCCAGAGAAAAGTGGCTTATTACCCGGAGGACACCAGTGTGAATGTCAGGGGACCAGAGGAAGTGAGATGACACATTTTTGGGTGGAAAGAAAAGAAGTGTCATGAAGATGAAAGAAGGACAGTCTCAGATGAAGGAAAATTAAGAGGATTCATAGAAGCAGGCTAACGTGAGTTCTTCAAATACAAGGGACATGATACCAGAAGGAAACTTGGGGCATGAAAAACAGCAAAAGCAAGAGAAATGGTATATAGTGAGTCAACAAAATAGACTATTCCTCCAGAGATCTTGAAAAAATGTTTGGTGGCTGAAAGCAAGTTAAAATACTGTCTCATGGGGTTTTCAGCGTATATAAATGTAACATATAAGAGAACTATCACACAAAGGGGGAAGGCAATGAATCGGAAAGAACAAGTTTGACTCCACGTTAGATCTGTTTCTTTGGCTCTAACCCTGTGCTCTGTTCCCTGTGCTCAGTCAGGCTGGTTCTGCGCCTTTCCTCAAAGAATGTTGCCTAAAGCCTGAAATCTACAGGAGAGCCCATTCTCAAGGCTCTGACCTTTAAGGATATTCACACTTTTCCATCCACATAAAGGTAAAAAGTTGCAGAATAGAAAATAATGTTTGTTTTGTTGGAGGTTTACAGGGACACCATGATCTGACCCACATGGACAGCTGCAAGAACAAAGGATTAGAAGAACAAAGAAATCCTATACCAAGAAGTTTGCCACAACCCCCGCCCCCCGCCCCTGCTTTTTAGTATAAAAGGAGCCTGAATTCTGACTTGGGGAAGATGGTTCTCCAAGACAGTAGCCTGCCATCTTTTTGGTCTGCTGGTTTTCCAAATAAAGTCTTTATTCTTTGCCCCAACTCCTTGTCTCCTGATTCACTGGCCTGTCGTGCAGTGAGCAGACGAGTTTGACTTGCTAACAGCAAAAGGGCCTACATGGTGTAGGATTTTTGCATTCCACTTAAAGTAGTGCAAATAGACTGAATAGTTAGCATGTATTTGTAATCCTTAAAGCAGCCACTTAAAAAAACTACACGACACGATATACATAACTCATAAAAAGATTTTTTAAAAATAAATTTAAATGGACTGCTAAAAAATACTCAAATAACCTAAGAGATGACAGAAAAAGGAAACAGCAATGCAAAAAATAGTGATCTTCTTTCTGCCACATGAGGACACGATGAGAAGTTGGAGTCTGCAACCCAGAAAAGGGCCCTCTGATTCTGTAACCAAGGTGTGGGCCTCCCCACACCACCTAACACTAGCTGGGTGTCCTGCAACTCAAATCTGACACCATCTACCTGCAGACAGTGTCAGATGCCACAGGGTAAGGGCTCGGCCCCACAAGACGGCCACTCCCTGTGGTGCCAATCATAAGTCCAGGTTGACATCTGTGCTTCCGACTGACCAGCTATATGTCGGAGATCCCAAAGACCCCCTCCTTTAGTTCCATTAATTTGCTAGAGCAGCTCACAGAACTCTGAGAAACATTTAACTTACTGGATTACTGGTTTAAAAGCCATATTGAGGAAAAGGAACAAAGCTGGAGGCATAACCCTCCCAGACTTCAAACAATATTACAGAGTTACAGTAGTCAAAGCAGCACGGTACTGGTACAAAAACAGACACATGGATCAATGGAACAGAACAGAGAGCCCAGAAATAAACCCACACACCTCCAGTCAATCTTTGACAAAGGAGGCAAAAATATACAATGGAGAAAAGGCAGTCTCTTCAGCAAGCGGTGCTGGGAAAACTGGACAGCAGCACGTAAATCAATGTGATTAGAACAGTTCGCACCATATATAAAAATAAACCCAGCATGGTTTAGATACCTAAATAAAAGACATGATACCACAAAACTTCTTGAAGAGAACATGGGCAAAACGTTCTCTGACATAATCTGCAGTGTCTTCTTAGGTCAGTCTCCCAAGGCAATAGAAGTGAAAACAAACATAAACAAATGGGATAAGCCTTTGCACAGCAAAGAAAACCATAAACAAAATGACAAAAAAGACAATGTATGGACTAGGAGAAAATATTCGCAAATGATGCGAACGACAAGGGATTAATTTCCAAAACACAAACAGCTCATACAACTCAATAACAAAAAACATGAACAACCCAATCAAAAAATAAGGAGAAGACATTAACAGACATTTCTCCAAATAAGACATACAGATGGCCAAGAGGCACGTGAAAAGATGCTCAACTTCACGAATTATTAAAGAAATGCAAATCCAACCTACAATGAGGTTATCACCTCACACAAGTCAGAATGGCCATCATTCAAAAGTCTACAAATGATAAATGCTGGAGAGGGTGTGGAGAAAAGGAATCCTCCTGCACTGTTGGTAGGAACGTAAACTGGTGCAGTCACTATGGAGATCAGTACGGAGGTTCCTTAAAAAGCTAAAAACAGAGTTACCCTATAATCCAGCAATCGCATCCCCGAGCATATATTGGGAGAAGACGAAAACTAATTTGAAAGGATACATGCACCCCAAAGTTCATAGCAGCACTACTGACGAGCCAAGGCACAGAAACAACCTAAATGTCTGTTGACAGATGAATGGATAAATATACATACACACACACACACACACACACACACACACACTCAATGGAATATTGCTCAGCCATAAAAAAGAATGAAACAATGCCATTTGTAGCAACAAGGATGGCCCTAGAGATCATCATACTAAGTGAAGTCAGACAGAGGAAGACAAATATTATATGATATCACTTATATGTGGAATCTAAAATATGATACAGATGAACTTATTTACAAAACAGAAACAGACTCACAGACAGAGAAAACAAACTTATGGTTACCAAAGGAGAAAGGAAGAGGACAGGAGTTTAGGATTAGCAGATGAATCTACTATATATAAAACAGATAAACAGCAAGCTCTTACTGTACAGTATAGGGAACTATACTCAGTATCTTGTAATAAACCATAATCAAAAAGAATCTGAAAAAGTATATATATATTTGTGTATATACATGAATACATATATACATGAACACATACATATACAAGAATATATATAAATTCATATATATACATGTATAACTGAATCACTTTGCTGGACACCAGAAACTAACACAATGTTGTAAAATCGACTATACTTCAATTTAAAAAATA